CTATATAATTGTAGGAACCCCATTTCCTTAGGGAACAAGTGTAAAAACAGGAATGGCACTAGAACAAATGTGTGCAGACTGCTGATAAAATTAAAAAGTCAGGACAGGAATCAGCAGGTCTATGTCAATCAGAGAAGCTTTCAATGGTGTATTAGATACTAAGAGTATAACTAGTTTTAAGATTGTAATCAGGTTATGAAATAGATTATTTGACATGATTGCCTTCAGGAAGTCCTCTCCTGGACTATCAGAAACAAGGGTATGTTAATATGATGCCTCTATCCTAATGAGCACAAGATAACATTTTTAAAATTTGCAAAACGACCTGCGGATCAGTTTAAAAGTCATTTCCAGAAAACACATTTACTCCATAGTATATCATACTTGTTGATCCTTGTCACTGGAAATCTGTTTTGCCAAGTATCAAGCAGAATCTGTAAGTATAGGTTGCTCTGGTTTAGTTTCTCTGTGGAAAGTTTGGGTGCTGGACTGCTGTGGTGCAGAACCTTGGCAACACAGAGAAAAGTAATGGCAACTTTCCCAGAACTCAAATGCTGTGCCTGATTTCCATACAAATATATATTGAATTGTATAAAATACTGCATCAGAATTGTGAATTTTATTTAGTTATCTATTTATAGAGCATGGCAAATGTAGGCAGCATTTTACAGAGCAATCCAAAATTGCTGTGTGGTAACAAAAAAGAAAAGCTGAGCAAAAGCATAACGTTGTTCGCAAAAAAATTGTAGACTTAAATGATTTTCAGTTTACTGTGCTGATATGAAAAGTCTGAATTCCTGATGCACAGCATTGAGCTTTGCCAGAGGATTTTTATAAACAACTAGTGAACAACATAATTTGCTTCTGCCAGATAAAGTTAGAACCTATCAGCCATGTCATAAACTGCTATCAAGTCTGAGATTCTTCTTCAGCTCAGGCAGGAGCAGCAATTTGTTTGGAGTAGAAGCACTGGAGAATGGTGCTTGGTGGCACTGTAAACATTGTATACTGGCAGTGGTGTCAGCATATAAAGTGTAGGGTTTCCAACAGAGTTGGTAGAAAGTGGGAAAATGTTTGGCCAGGGAGATTTCCTGGAAATGCATTTTCAGCAGAATCCAGTAGCTCTGTGGTGTGTGGTGACTTCCATGAAACTTGATGAATTTATAAACTGGTCTGAACTTTTCGTTTTGCTTCTGGCACTACTGTCAGTCCCCATTAAGAAATGCAGCTTTATATGACATAAACTTTGATTAGATTTTGATTAAGCTTTGATAGAGACTTTGATTAATAGCACTGTATGGAGAAACCAGAACAAACCTCCCAGGGGCTGATGAAGAAAAAATTGTCAATGCAGTAAACAGGAATGAGAAGCTAATCTATAATTTAAGCAATGTGTTAATTAATACAGTATAAATAATAAAATCTGTGGTAAATCCAGGGAGTAATCTTGTCTATCTGCTCATCTAGGTGTGGTTAGAAAACCATATCTTGAATAGGAAAGTAGTATCTGTATGATAACTGTATGATGGGAGTCTTTCCAATCAGATGGTCAGCAGGATTTTTTTCTTGCTAGAGTTTACTCATTTTAAGATGAGAAACCTTTTTAAAACGGCATAGTGGGAAAACTGAAATAAGTAAAAGAAGAGTGCCAAGGGATGGTTGCTAGTCTGTGGGCAGGACTCCAAGATGAGGTGCCACATAAAGGGACAGCCCTGACCTTCCTTCCTTACCCTGATGCCATGTCCTCCCTTGCCTCCCCAGGGCTGGCATTACCCATTGTTGATATCCCCCTGTCTCAGGAAGCTTGGCTGTGCTCAGAGCAAAGGCAGGAGGGACAGACTCCTGTGAGGAAAAGAGGAAGGAATTACCTATTTCATGGCACATCAGTCAGTCTTCTAGAGAGTAGATATTTCTTCAAACTCAAAGGAATCACCAGAGTGGAAAAGGTGGATGTGATAGGGGTATTAGCACAGCTCCAGTTTAGCCCACTGTCAAACTGAAGTTGTTCGGCTTCTTGAGAACTTTGCATCTAGAAATCATCAGCTTCCCCCACAAGCAGTTTCACTCTTTCCACTCAGGTGAGACCTGGATGCTGGTTGTAGGCAGAATAAGAATGAACATTGCCTCTTAATGTGCCAGTTTTGATGACATCTTAAGGAAGAATCAGGGTTTTAGATGATAATTTGGCTATTGTGCTACTATTACTGGGATATCCCTGGATGAGGGTGCAGAAGAGAGATGCCGCTCCATAAGGTCTGTCGATGGCCTCCCACACAAGCCTTGCTGTGCTGCAGGGTCATGATACAGGGGGCACAATCCTTGCTAGAAGCTTACACTGCAGTTTTAAAATTCATGCTTGGGGAGTCCAGGCAAGTGCCAAAGGATCCCTGTGGTGTATCCTCAGGGCTTTTGAAGTGGTCTGTACTGCAGTGCATGGGAGATTGAGGGGGAAGGTTTTGCAGATATTGCACAATATTGTTCATGATCCCCATAAAGATCCATGGGCAGGTCTGCACATATGTCTTCCCTTGATTAGCAGGACTTAGTTACTGCAATAAGAAATAGTCTGAACCAAGCCAACACCCATTACAAAACTCGGAATCTTCAGTAATGCTGATAACATTCTCCTGTTGGGAATAATGCTATTTTGTTGCATTTGGAATTGAAAATATAGAATTTCATAAATAAAAATACTTAGAAGTTTTTCTTGCTGTAATTAATGGATTAATATTAGAAGTACCCTGCTTACAGTCCATTCATTTCCCGTGCCAAATTTGTGGTTTGTGAAAGTCATAAACTCTTAAGAAAACAGACCAGCAATGTCACTTAACAATTCTATTAATAACTTTTTCCTGTGGGACAGAGAACTAAAATAACAATAAAACCAATAAAAACCCAGTAGCATTCCCTAAACAAAGAAAATCAATCAAACACCCTGTTTATTGATCCATGTTGGAAATCTCTCTAACAGGCTCAGTGAGTGGACAGCTAGCTGAAGAAAATACCTTATGGCTGGGACTTTTAAAACACCCATTTGTAGCATGATACCACTGAGAAAAATTATGCTCTTCTTATGCAGCCTTGCAGCTAATCCACCATCCTATGGTGCAACGCATTAGCCTTACCATTTCTTCAAGAAAAGAGAGAAAACAGAGAAAGGATTTTCACAGCTGGCAAGATGCTAAAACATGTTAGCTTTTATCATGAGAGTATAATGGTACTACTGTTTAAGAAAATCCAGCATCTTGTTTAATTTTCTTTTTTTTAAGTTTTTTTAAATTGATCCTTTTCTCTGTGGAAGCTGGAAAAATATGGGGGAAGAGAGCATAACTAAATACCATCAATCTTCTCAACTGAAATCCATAATTATAGTTTTTATTACTTTCTGGTTTCTGATATATAGGTTTCACAGAGCTGATTGCAGGGTGTAGAAACCATTTTTGCCTTTTAAATTGAGGCATTTCAGGTCTTCTCTAATTAACCACTTTCAGAGTGTATCACAGGCTTAGTGTCTACTCGCCAGGCTCATTTCTCAGAGAGAGATCTGTTATTGCACTAAAATGAGAACAAGAGGCATTCTGTATTAATAGTTTATGAAGATAGCTAAATTACAGCTGACCATACAGTATTCTGCCTATGTTGTTCTCCTAAGTCTTTCTCTGGACTCACTTTTTCTGGGGAGACAAATCTTGAAGGAATAATACCTTCTCTGCAATGATAACAGTTTGAGAAATTGCAGTAGGAAGTGCATAGGGAAACTTACTTGTACAGAGCACCAACTAATTAAAATAGAAACTTTGGTTTTCTTTTCCCATTAAGGTGGCAGAGTTTTAGATCTAATGAAACAAAAAACACAGGAAGAAGTACAGCTCTTAAATGCATGACAGTTCAGAGCTCTGTAAAAGTAAAGCCTCTGATTTATCCACAGGAAACTGCCCAGGATCAAGATCTTCACACAGTTACCCACTTTGTACCCAATCCTTTTTTAGCCAATCAGACTCACTGCATGTTACTCATAATAAGCTAACCAGACCCAACATTTTCTTGGAGCAAGGAGCTGTCACATTTTCTTCTTGCACAGTGGTAAGCACATGAGCTGTTCCTTAAAAGCAAATGACAAAATTCTGCATTTCCTTCCTGCCTCTGTCCCTCTCATTCTCCCCTCCTCCCTTCACTCCTCACTGCCTCATGGCATTTTTGTCACCTTCTGGATTCCAAGTTCACATTCACTTCATTCCCTTGCTAAAAAATTCTGTCCAGGTGCAGCCATAAGGCAAAACAATGGCACAATACAAAAGGACAGCTGTCAGGTAGCCAAAAGCAGCATGAAAAAAGCAATATTGAGTGAGATATTCCAATATCTGTATCACCGACTGACAAAGCCATATAGTAGGACATATGCATGCATTTACCATTTTAGAGAAGTAACCACACTTGCTGAAAGCATCAACCTTAGAAGGAAACCCAGAGTGTGAGGGAATGAGTACTGCTGGAGAGATGATTTGTATTATTTCAGGTAAGCACGGCCGAGAGCTGATGGGCATAAACATTGGCATTATCTTCACAGAATTGCTGTTATCTCCTGTGCTGTCTCCTGCTTTGCATAATGCCATATGAACCTCATTACTGCAGTTTGCAGGGTTTTGAACATTCACAGAAAAAAGCATAGGGAGAAGAGTAATAGTTTGATTGATGCAATTTTCACATTGGCCCAGTGGATAATCAGAAGAAGCTCTTCTATTACAAGGACATGCAGAAAGCAAAACATTTTAAATCCTACCCACAACCCAGGGCCATTAAGAAAGGCTAAAAAACCTCTAATAACATAGTCTTTCTTGACAGAGTTATTGTTAACAGCTAAATAGCAGCTAGCAGGCAAGATCTGCTCTTATGCCAGGACTACAAGGCACACAGCAGTCTGAATGAAGGATAAATATGTATGCGTGGAAATTACATCTTCCAAAAATTATAAAAAATAAATAGATTAAATGAACCCCTACCTTGGAGAGCCTGGAGTGTACGAGTCTGTACAACAATACAGAGTTGCAGGACCAGCTGTGGTGCACTTTCCAGAAAGGTGGCTAGCAAATGCAGCATACTCACATCTGCATACTCATACACCATTTTCCAATAAAACCGCCATCTGTCATTCTCTCCACTCTGTCGACTCCGGATACCCAAGTACATCGTGTGAAAATACCTGGAATGAAAGAGAGTGCTTATAGAAGCACAGAATGATATTTTACATGTTCTACTTCTGCTTGCAAACAATGTTTTGTTCAATGTACTTCAAAAGAATGAACGCTTATTTAAAAAGATCATTGTATTTCAATTTATAATAGTTGATGTGATAAGAGTAAACTAAACTGAAGACAAGACTAGCCTTTATAAGGCCATTAAAAAAGCTTAGCATTGACTTATTTGTTAAATAGTATTTCTTTCAAGGACCCAGTTTTCTAATTTGAAATATACAGATGATGTCTTGATTATATGGCCTTCCTGAGAGGTTTTGCAAATAATGAGAGGAACAAAACGGTCTCTTTAATGAAAACATGCAAAGAACTAATTTTTTTTCTGCATAGCTGTATTAGGACTTGGAGAGCCACCTGCACTGCAACTCTGAGGTGGTCTTAGCCTGTAGCTCTGCTATGGCTGAGCATATTGTCCTGCTTTTCCCCCCATCTGACACACTGAGTATTTCAGATACTGCCAAATGTATCATGTTTTTTTTTTCTCATAGTTTGATTATTTTAGTCAGAGAGAAGATGTAGCTGTGAGTTCCTATTTTAGAAGGCGTGGAGATGTGGCTGTGGGTTCCCTTGGAGATCAGAAATGACTCACTATGGTAGCTCCCATGCAGCAGCAGCAGTAAGCAGCAGCAGGAGCCAGGAACCCAACAGGCTGCTGCTGCTCCCTGTAGTAACCAGCAGATAAAGGGAGCAAGAGGCAAAGCCCCTCAACTCTTGTGCCCTGTGCAATCAGCAGGAAAAACACCTGGAAACCAGCTCATTAGCTAGATTTTGGTGGGTGCAGGAGCAATGAGTGGTTTTAGGAAGCAAGGGAGGTCTTCTGAAGGCTAGTACCCAGATGCTGTGATGCCTGTGGTGACCCTTGCAGAGCGTGCAGCAGCCTCCCATGACACACCTGAGTCACAGCATAGTGATCACTCTGGGTGGCCTTTGATCTGCTATGTTATTCTGATCTGATCTCAGATATTCTGTGTCAGAAAAGCTCCCACATTGTTCCTGCAATTTTAGTTCCAAACTAATTAAGGCTGGCTGAAAAAAATCCCCAGTCTCACTTAATGAAAAATTTTGAAGATTAAGGTGTTGGCTTGCATCAGGGTGCCTTGTGTCCTGCAGTAGTAGCCTGGGGGGCTACTAACTGATGTGGATCTTTGTTTCTCCTTTTCTTGAGGTATCTTTCATATCCTGTTCCTGACATCATTTTCTTATGATATTTTTAATATGTTTTCACAGCATTTTTTTAAAGTGAGATCCTATTTTATAATTAAAAAAAGTTTAGTAAATTTTAACCACTTTCAATATGAATTGCTTTAATTAGTTAATATAAAGTATTTCAGTATTTCTTCTTTCCACAAGTTCTTGTCTTAAAACCCTTTTTCTAACTGGTGGAGCATGGTGAATAGTGAAATCTCCTTTTACAAAGGTTGCATGCAACCTCTAATCTCTGCTCAGCTGTAACTCTGGAGGTGTCTTATGCTGATGAGAAGACTTTTGGCTTCTGACTGGCAAAGAGCCCAAGACTTGGTTGCCCCCTTGAAGAATGACCCAATGCACCCTTGGACCCAATGCACACTCTATGCGGAGCAGCAGTTTTTATTCAGGAATATTCACGAGTCAAAACCAGGGACTAGCACAGAGAAACAGCTGAGAGGACAGATCTGAGCCTGCAGCATTTCTCTTGACAATGCACATCACAGCAATATAAAAGGAAAACACATTAAACTCACATTTAAATTAAAATCACACCAGGTGGCTTTGAATTTTATCAAAGTCCCGTGTGGGAGTGAAGCAGCAATGAGCTGCTCAGAGATTGAGACCACAGAGGTACAGTAAACAAGATACCAACTGTAACTTTCATGCAAAACACTGAGAAGGTCTAGAGGGGTCAGAGTATGATGGGATAACTGGGCCTCTCTGGTGCCTTTGGGGTTAGGTAAAGTGGAATGGCCTGCTGCCCAGATCTGAAAGCCACTGAGCTGGAAAGGCATCTTTTGCTGCACAGTTCTGTTAATGGGGTCCATTGGACCCACTGGTTCTCAGTCACGATCCATTTAATTGTTCCTGGACCTCTCATTAAAGTCCTGCGGCACAACAGGGACAGGAAAAGCTTTTATTTCCTTCTGCAGTTCATTGTTTGGGTGGGGTTGGTTTGTCCTGCCTAACATGTCCTCCCAAGGGGCACACCTTGGAATATTGCACATAGTGGGACCAGACAGCATCTTCAACACCATTCTTTTAAGATATCACTAACCTTTGCTATAAATTCCTAAAGGAGCTGTGGCTGCTGAAAGTTGTGCCAGGAGGCTCTAGCTCTGCCAGTGGAGCCATCTGCAACTTCAGTTCTACAACATTTGTACAAAAAATACTTTTCCTATTACAAAAATGACATACTGTGGCAGGTGAGGACCCCTAGGGTTCTTTACCTGCTCTGCAGAGTGGTTGTGCATGGCAAATATGTTGTGATTAATGAACCCGTATGGAAATATTTCCTCTCCCATTGCACTTTATTGTGAAATGCTGGCAGTGAGTTATTGGGGACTGGGGAATCATTGCTCTTGGTCTACTTAGCTCTTTGCAATTTAAACACAAGACGTACAGGAGGAAGATACTTTCTGGTTTTACACACTGGGGACCAAATTTCAGCCTAGAGTGATTTTTTTTTCTGTCCTTTCAATTTTGGCCAAATTAATTGCAGGCTGAAATTAACATTTACACACATAATTACTGTCACTGATTTATAGGCATAATCAGGTGATTAGACAGCTAAACATTCTGATTTGCATCCACAATTAATTCCACCAGCAATTGATGTTAGGTGTGCAAATTAGCAGTTATTAAAATAAAAAGAAGGTCTAATAAAATGATTCATATATCAAAGACTCTTTTTTCTGATTGTGAAATATAGAAGAAAAAAAATGGGAGAAAGTGCTTTGTTGTAGTGGCTTCCAAATATAGCTTAACACTGCAGCAATGACACATTCCATTTTATATATATATGCATTATGTAATTCCACTTCAGACACCCTCACTGGAGGCCTATTGTCAGCAAATGTCATACAGACACAGTCAGAGGTAGTTCCTGATTTGAAGGGTTTTTCTATTTTGGTATTCTGGTATTGTTTTGGTAGAAATTAACATTTTTATGTGAGTCCGGGTAGTGACTCTTATGTACAGTTATTCCAGAAAGATATAGGAAAAAGCAGTATATAGTTCTGCATTGCAAAATATCTTAGGTAAATTGATGTCAATGAACCTGAAAGAACAGATGTGAATGTCATTTTTTTGGTCGTGATTGCATTCAGTCAACTACAGTCTTCTGCTGGTGCTTTACAAATATACAAAACCTGCCTATCCATCCAGTTCCCAAAAAGCATTTAATTGATATGTAAAGAGATGATAAACAGTGAAAAATTAAGAGTTACAGCACCTGACAAAAAAAGGAAAAGAAGCAGAAATGGGGAGTGTGGTAATGATACTGCCATCTAGCAAAGTAACCACTTTGTCTAATAAATCAAGTTTATCTTAAAGTCTCTTATTTCACTAGAAGAGTAAAACCAAATAAAAATACACCACTTCACCCACACCACAAAAAGACCCTACAATTTAATAGCTCTCTTGTTTTTGTAGAAGACCTTAGACATAACTGATTTTCTTAGAGATTTTGCAGTTAGAGGATTATGAAACCTCTCATGTGAAGTCAGACTGGGAGAGTTGAGGTTGTTCAGCCTGGGGAAGAGAAGGCTCCAAGGAGATCTTATTGTGGCCTTCAAGTACCTGAAGGAGGCTGAAGGTTATGGCTTCAAACGGAAAGAGGGTAGGTTTAAGTTAGTTATAAGGAAGAAATTATTCATTGTAAGGGTGGCAGGACATGAAGAGGTTGCCCAGAGAAGTTGTCAATGCCCCATCCCTGAAGGTATTCAAGGCCAGACTGGATGGGGCTTTTAGCAACTTGGTCTAGTGGAAGGGAACCTGGTCCAGTTCCAATTCCCTGGCCCATGGCAGGGAGTTGGAACTGGATGATCTTCAAGGTCCCTTCCAACCCAAACCATTCTTTCAGTCTGTGATTCTATGAAATGTACTATGAAAAAGCAATATCAAAACATTTTTATTTTAAAATTACTCTTTTACTCTCTCTTTTTTTTTTTTTTTATGAAGACAGATCACTGCTTGGGATCTCAGACTCAATGATGATTTAAAAAAGTTTATATTCAGAATTAATACAATGGAGTGAGAAGCACTATATCACTGATAATCAGATGGCAACATATATATCTTTATTTGAGTCTTAACATCTTAACCTTTGAAGGAAGTAGAGAATTTTTCAGCATTTAACTGTCTTAATTTATTTCAGTGCATCACACAGCACAGTATACAGACCTTGATAAAGTATAACCCTTAAGGATGTGAATCTGAGACAAGACCAAGTGACATTCTTTTTCCATTATATCAGTGATGGAAAGCAGTAAAGTAAAAGAGACAAACAGAAAACCAGGCTACTCATTATGTCCACAATAGGGTCTAAGATGCAAGACAAATAGAAATAAAAAATTGTCTACATTTGTATTTGGGAAAAAATGTATTTTGGTTATAGGGAAACATACATACATTCTGATAAGACAGTGGCTCTCTAGTATTTCCAAAATCCAGAGCCCTCATTTTGCTCCAGATTCACATACCAATCTTGAGGATGGTCAGCATAGACTGAGATACATACATTTGAAATAATTCTGGTAACAATTCACTTATGATTAAAGCATGCCTACTTGTGTATTTAATTGAGATGAGGTACTGTAATTATACGATAATACCAAATATTTATAGGAGTGCTTTCCATGTTTAAAGTGCTGTACGACCACTGCTTGATTAACTAGGATGAATGAAAATAATCTTACAGAGTTTGTTCCTCAGGAGTTGGCAGCTGACCAATCTAATACCCTTCTGCAGGAGCCAGGTA